AAGCATCAGCAAATAGATCCCTGAGCTTTACCTAAGCATCAACTTCATAAACACGGAAGCTTTACCCAAGCATCAGCTCCGTAAATAGGAAAGCCCTTTGCTGATAAACCCTCCTTATGAAGCTAATGCTTAGGCAAAACTTTCGTATGAAGCTGATGCTTAGGTAAAGCTGAGGGATCAAACTGCTGATGCTTAAGTAAAGCTGAGGAATCAAATTGCTGATGTTTGTGTTAAGCTTCCGTATTGATGAAGTTGATGCTTAGGTGAAGCTGAGAGATCTATTTGCTGATGCTTAGGTAAAGCTTCCGTGTTTATGGAGCTGATGCTTAGTTAAAGCTGAGATTTCGCAGCTTTTCCTAAGCATCAGTTTCACCTTATTGGCTTTCAGCTTTCTTTTTCTAAGCATCAGCTTTACGAGTGGGGATGTCCCTTACGTATGGCGGGTTCTCCGCTTGAGTTTCTTGCTTTTATTTTTCTTTTTCTTGCTTTTTCTTTTTGATTTTCTTACTTTTCCTTCTACTTTCATTCTTGCTGGTACTTTCCTTGCTTTTATTTCCTTTCTTCCTTGTACTTTTTCCTTGTTTTCCTACCTTCAATCCATCACCCTTTTCCCTCTCCCTTAAGTGGCCTTGGCAACTGTCAAAAGATCTAAATCACGTAGCTATTCAGTGTACTCACCCGATCCGCTTCCTGCCTCGAGTCTCTGCGCGCGAAACCCGTTAATTCATTTGCCTCAACATCATCCCAGGACTCACCTCGATTATCGTCAGCCACCGTGTCGCCGAGTTGCACTTCAACAGTCGCCTTGCCGCCAAGCCAGCAACTGGAATATGCCAGAGAAGAGGATGAATTTGCGGCACAACGACGTCGCATTTCCAAAAAACCCGCACCACCTGTACGCCGAAACGTCGTACTGTAAGTCTTCTAAAACAATTTTTTTTCGTTCATTTTCAAATATTCCTGGGCTACTACTTCGAATGCCTTCGCCTCTCATAAACAATGAATGCAAAGGGGTTTTGTGTTTTGACCCGCTTGACAGCGGGTGATAGAAAATGGGTGAGATAGATTTTAAGAATGTAAACGAATGGATGATAAGTTAACAGCGTGAGAAATGGTGCCACTGCTTTGCAAATAAATCTTTGAAGCGATAAAAATAATCCTTATTTTTGCCCTTTCAAAGCCTCCCCTTGAAGAATTTTGAATTCTAGCCAAAAAAAATCGCAGTGAAAGAGTGGGGATTTTCGGGGCTCCCGCTGTTTTCGTAATTTTTTTAACCCGAGAAGTCGATTTTTTTCTCGCACTGATGTTGTTAGATCCAGATTCAAAGGCTCATCTGCTAGAGAGCCGCAAACTTAAAATATTTGATAAAAAAACACCCTGTTCAACAATATTTTAATTACAGCGACGCGATGAACTAAACGAACAGCTGGATGAGCTGGAACTAAAAGGACCAGCAATGACCAAAGCTGACAGACAGAAGAATAGAGAGCTTGTCAACGAGCTGGCGAAAATTCGAGTGCCGCTGCCGTTCCCACAGACTTCGGCCAGCAACACAGTTGAACGTAAACATTTGAGATCTGATTCACCGTACTTTGGTGCTTCTTCGAAAGATGAGGAG